AGCCGTTTGTATAACAATAAGGGCATATATGAGCCACTTTTATAACGAGGGATATATCATCTCCAAATGACAAAGTTGAGGGGTATATCAGACCCTTTTTCCCTACTATTAATAATTGAGTTAAAGGTAAAAAAGGCACACCTAAATTATTTCACTTTATCGAGTTTCATATTTGGACTATTCAGAGTGTAGTTTCCTATATGAACTATCATTCAATGATTATCGAAACATATCTTAACGTTGACTAAATCAAATATTTGTCTAAAAATATTTTTAGGCACGTTTGTCCTTAAAATCTCCATCCACCTACATATATCGTTCCTTATTAGCTGATACAATAACTTTTTAAAATATGAAGATAAAGCACAAAACCTTTACAATATGATGGAGATCTCAGAGACACATCTTAACAAAACTAAGGTTCTATTACCCCTAAACTCATTCTTTTTTTTTTGTAAATTTTGTACACCTTTTGACTTATATGATATCCGTGATTTCTCGCAGCTTAAGCGTGTGAAAATTGTTTGAATGTCTATAAAAAAAATTCAGAAGTGTAATATGACGTTAGTTTAATTAAACTGTGTTTCTGATTTTGATCATAGTCAATAAAAGTACTTGACCTTATCCCTAAAATATATTTTAAATTGATTTCTTTAAAACTCTAAACTCTCTCCTTCAAGTCGGATGTATCGATGCCACAATAAAAACAAGAGCACGAAGAATAATTAACTTATATAATTATAGCTTTAACTTTTAATTTTATTTAAATTTACAACGAAGAGTGTCATGTGATATAATTTCTTAAACAAAAGAGAGAACGTACACACATAGTCCGAAATTAGAGTCTATGTATTTGGATTAATTATTGAGTGATAGTTTAGATAGAAAAAATATTCAAATACGTAACTTATAAAGATTTGAAAAAACCGCGCTTTTCTTTCTCCTTCAAAGTTCAAAGTTCTCTAATGGAAGCTTTATTGGATTCTCAGTAATGTTATCAAAGCTGAACCCTTTACATGGCTCCTTTCTTCTCTCTATCTCAGAATTCTCACTTCCAAACCTTAAATACTCAACTTCTTCGAAGACCCTTTTCAACGCTGGCACTAAAACAAACAAATTCTTGATTTACTGCAACACCCAAATCGCAGAAAATGGACGAAACGGATACATTAAAGAATCTGAATCCATTTTCTACAGTATGCCCAGCAAAAATATCGTTTCTTGGACGGCAATGCTCACTGCATACTCACAAAACAGACAACTCAAGAATGCACGTGAACTGTTTGATAAAATGCCTGAGAGGAGTGTTGCTTCGTGGAATGCAATGCTGACTGCTTATATGAGGAATAGAGTTGATATTAATGAGATTTTTAGTTTCTTTCAGCTGATGCCAGAGAGAAATTCGGTGTCTTTTGCTGCGATGATTACTAGTTTTGTTAATGCAGGGAGGGTTGATATGGCAGAGGATTTGTATAATCGGACTCCTATGGTTTTTCGGGAACCTGTTTGTTCAAATGTATTGATAAATGGGTATTTGAAAGTTGGGAAGTTAAATGATGCAGTTCGTGTTTTTGATGGTATGGTGCAGAAAGATATTGTTTCTTGTAGTGCAATGATTGATGGTTACTCTAAGAATGGGAGAGTTATTGAGGCTCGGGAGTTGTTTGATACGATGAAGGAGAGAAATGAGGTAACTTGGGGTGCTATGATTGATGGGTATATGAAAGTTTGTTGTTTCGAGGATGGGTTTGATTTGTTTCTAAGAATGAGAAGAGGAGGTGATGTGAGACTGGAGCCTACTATACTAACAATCGCTTTAGAAGCTTGTGGAAGATTTAGTAAGCATCCACAAGGTTATCAAGTCCATGGATTGGTTTCTCGTTTGGGATTTGAATTTGATGTTTTCTTGGGTAATTCATTGATCACTATGTACTCTAGATTTGGTTGTGTAAATGCAGCTAAAAGTGTGTTTGATTCGATGTTAAGGAAAGACGTCATTTCATGGAATTCACTTATTAGTGGTTTTGTTCAAGCTGGAAAACTTGAAGAGGGATATGAGCTTTTCAAAAGAGCTCCGGAAAAGGATGTTGTTTCCTGGACAGCCATGATTACAGGGTTTTCTGAAAAGGGGTTGACTGAAATTTGTGTCGAGCTATTTAAAATGATTCCCGAGAAAGATGATGTTGCATGGACAATACTTATCTCTGGTTTTGTGAATAAAGGGGAATATGAGGAGGCTTTCCACTGGTTTGTTAAAATGCTTCAAAGTGCAGTTAGACCAAATCCTCTAACTTTAAGTAGCATGCTTAGTGCTTCAGCTGGTATGGTCATGTTGAATCAAGGACTGCAAATTCATGCTCTTGTTTTGAAAATGGATATGGAGTTAGATTTGTCTATCCAAACTTCTCTTATCTCAATGTATTCGAAGTGTGGAAGTTTAGATGATGCCTATAGGATCTTTAAATTCATAAATTACCCGAATATTGTTTCTTTCAATGCAATGATTACTGGATTTGCCCAAAATGGCTATGGCGAAGAAGCTCTAAGGTTGTTTCACCAGTTGCAGAATGAAGGTGAGCAACCTAATGGCATCACTTTTCTAGGGGTTCTTTCGGCCTGTATGCATGCGGGGCTCGTAGAAGAAGGATGGAACTACTTCAAATCCATGAAATCATTCTACAACATTGAACCAGAGCCTGATCATTATACTAGCATGGTTGATATCCTAGGACGAGCTGGTTTACTCGATGAAGCAGTTAGTTTAATCAATTCAATGCCATTTAAGACACATTCAGGGGTTTGGGGTGCTCTTCTTGGTGCCAGCAAGACTCATTTGCGCCTTGATCTTGCAAAGCTTGCAGCTCAAAAGATTTTGGACTTGGAACCAAGTAGTGCAGCTCCGTATGTAGTCTTGTCAGACCTTTATTGTATTGTTGGAAAGAAGAAAGACGAGGAACGAGTTAGGCTGGCAAAGAAATTGAAAAGAATAAAGAAAATTCCAGGTTGCAGTTGGGTTTTGTTGAAGAACAATATTGGTTTATTTCTTTCTGGAGATCAGTCCCATTTGAACTTTGATGAGATCAGCTGCACATTGTGGACGATTATGGATGACATGAAACAAGTAAGTTGCATAGATCATGACTTGTTATCACTGTAAAAAAATGTCACTCTCTCCGTTTCAATTTGATTGGCACGGAGTTTAAGAAAGTAAAAAAGACTTTTACCAACCGCACATATTATATCAGTGAGATGATGTACCCAAAGCCTGCTTAATTGAAAAGTATTTCTAGTTATCATTTCTTGCAAGGTCTTCCTGATACTTGCTACCTCCTACCAACATAGATACCAGGTAACTCTGTCTACTAAAATTTGATAAATTGGATCACCTTTGGTCCAACAAACAAAACGGACTTAAAAACTAACGGTGACTATCAAAAATTACTACTTGGCATGTCTCATATCTAGTCATGTAAGTAGTTTAAGAAGAATGCTCAAGTACATTGCATTAATAAGGTCATGTATCAATTTGTTCTTGAGCTACCTCTAAAACTTGGCCTATCTTTCCAACTACAGCGACTAGTTCGAATGGTATTAATAACACCTTTGTGTGCTCATGTTTATAGTGTTTGCACGTACAAGAAGTGCGTGAGATGAAAAACAAGTTGTCTCAGTGTGAGCTATAGGTCATGGGTTGGATCTGTGGGACGAAGCACTAATGCTTGTGTTAGGATAGGTTGTTTACCCCTGCTAACGTGATATGCTTGGTTCACCAGACGCCCTTTTCTTTCAATAATTTTCTTCCATATATGGTCCAAATGGAGAGTTAACATAGTATCTCAATATTGACATGTCTATCCAAACAAGAAGCTAATTTTGAAAAAAAAAAATTACAACTTGAAATCAAATGATTGAAGTACTAAAGAATAGTAGTTACACAATTTAAACACAATAGCAAATCTACACTCTTCATGAATGCACAATTATCTATATCCTAATTTATGTCAATTTCTCAAGATAATTATATATTTTTACTTGCATGATTTTTTTTCTCAAAGTTATTATAGGGTGGGTTCGCCTTTGCAACATATAGCTTTTAGTCAATCACATAAATTTGTTTCACCATTATCATTAATCGCTATTTACAAATTACAACCATCATCATCAATCATCATTCCAATAATAAATTATTAATGATAAACACTACAATCTTCTCGAAAGCTTGTATATATATAGGAATTAATATCCATAAACATGAAGAGATGGACTACATGCATATAATTAACTTGTGAATGATTGTCATCCAAAATTAGTGAGTGCAATTATGTAAATCTTTATGCTGCTCTAAGTTGGAAAATTCAAAAATTATACACACATATTCAACTTTGAAGAACCTCTTTTAAGTTTCTTGAAACCTATTTTTTCTCCTACATTGTCCAATCGGACACGTAACACAAAATAATAGAGTAATTAATAGTTATTATTTCGTAAAGTTACTTTTTTTATCCAAGAAAAGTAGAATCGAGAAACTAAAAGGATGACTTAGATAATAACTTATTAGTTGAATATCTATACGAGAAATGAACTCCGTACTATATAGGCATAATACATAAATATGTTCTTTAATTTGGCTTCAAATTACATTTATGTCCTTCAACTTTGCATGTGCACAAGTAGACACTTAAACTTGTATAAAGTTGAACAAACAGACACACATGTCATCCTACTTGTCATTTTTTGTCCGACGTGGTGTCCTACGTATATTGTGTCATGTAGGACTCAGGTGTTTATTCACTTAAAAGTTGGATAGTTAAAGCGTCTATTTATGCATTATGAAAGTTAGGGGTCAAAGTTAAAATTTAAAGTCAAGTTTAGGGTCTAATATACTCATGCCAACTATATATATAATATAACATGAGCGTTGAGAGACATATTATACATGCATTATAGCAATTTGAAATATTTAATCACTAAGGAATAGTAATAACATGACTTTGACCTATTCAAAATCCACCACCACCACCACCTCCTCCTCCGCCAACCCAACCACCGCCACCACCGCCACATTGAAAACCTCCGAATGTATTACTTGTATCACACGTTATGCTTGTTAAACTAGCCATAGCAAGAACACCAACACCAACACCATCAATATTATTGTGCCTTCCTCCACCAGAAACTCTACTTGTTTGGCTTGCATGCAATATTCCACCACCAGGAATAGTCTCAACATTCTTCAACATCTTGCTACAACAAATACAACAAATAAATGACATAACAAATGCCACAATTATACCTAGAACCAAATATAGTACCATAATAGATTCATTATCCATCTTAGTATAACTATTTGCAAATACTGTATGTCCTTAAGAAATTTATGCTTTTATGAAGTTTAAGTATAGAAAATTTGTTCTTATTTGGATAAGAACACGATGAGTATGTATATTTCAGAGCGAAGAAATAAAGGAAAATATATATGATTGTATTTAGGAACTTCAAGACAACTTTCGTGTGTTATATATTCATGAAGCTAAGGTATGTGTTTTGCACATTTATTTGATTTGGGAATATTAATCCAACTTGAGTTTAAGTCTTCGTTGACTTTCTTGATGTCAACTGTGACAAGTTCGATTGAGAAAGTACGCGGGAAGTTCATTTGAAAAATTACCCGCTCAATTAACTCGATTAGCTTCGTAAATAAAGACAACCTTCAATACTATGATTTACTTTTTTTTAATTTATATTAACAGATCATATATTTAAACATTTTTTAGACATGTCAAAGTTAATGTAAGAAGAAAGATGTGCAAAGGGGTCTCTTGATCGATCAAGGCCTCATTTGTTGTATTTATTTAGAAAAAGATCTTACAATTAATTATTCATATATCAATCGTTAAATTTATTTATTTTTTATATGTGAATCTTAATTATTAATTATTAATTATATTCATTGATCTTATAATTATACAGTCATTTATAATTAATAAATTATTAAAAGAGATGGTATTCAGAAGTTACTTCAAAGATTATAAAATGTATTTATCGCTGCTCCATCTATTTTCACCGATACACATGCTTTGAGTAAAAGAACATATACAACAAAAATGAATAAATCAAAAACAACAAAAGGAAAGAAAACTACAAGAAGAGGAAAAATCCAATGTGCATTACATCTTATAATTATCAACCATAATAAAAATTTAACATGGCTAGCGTCCAAATCGAAAACTAGTAACTAATTAACCTCGAAATCCACCACAATCACCATTACCATCATCATCGCCACAACAATTCGTGCCCGAATTATCTGTACCACCACCACTACCTCCAACTACAACTCCACAACCACCACTAATATTACCACCCTTATTATCACAATCGCGTTTATCGTTACTTGTCATGACACCACTAGCTCTAGCTGTGCCAACTATCGCGCCACTCGCTCCAGCCAAAACAACCATATTCCCATCCCGTGTGGCACGACTATCGATGCTAGTGGTGGTATTTTTCTTATCTTTTTATATATCTTACATGGCACACTCTGTGATATTGCGTGAGAGATATTTGGATGTCATGTAAACTTAAAAAGTGCATAACATTACAAAAACAATAAATCCGGAAGGGGGGGGGGGGTTATAAGAAGGTGTGTCTGTGAGATTTTAATTATAGTCTTGGAGATACTTTTGTCTTATCCTATATTCTATATATTATTGTTGAGCATAACAACTACTTAGTTAACCTAATGGTCTGGAATGATTAATACATGAGTATTACAAGCTAAACTTAAATTCGGCTCCACTTCATTTCTCTTCTTTCGTATTGCTTGAATTAGAAATACATGACATAGATGAAAATTAATCACTACATTTAGTTTATTAAAATAGGATTCTAATTATAATTGAATAATTAATATTTCATAGAAAATGACAATGCCACAAGCGATATATTATCTTGTCCATATATATTGTAAAACAAAAATAATCTCTTTTTCAAAAAAAATTTCTCCTACTATAGTATTATCTTGTAAATCAAAAATAATCTCTTTTTCTAATTTTTTTTTTTCTCCTACTATAGTATTATCTTCTGTTCCTTTTTCCATAAATATATAATAAAAGTTTCTCTTTTTTCTAACTTTTTGTCCCTGCGAGAACTTTTGCTTACTAATAATTATATCAGATATACTAATAACTAATTTAAAGAGAAATTTGAGTTCCGAATTACAGTTTAAAATTATCTTATTTTTTTAGACAAGTGTCAAAAACACACCTAAACTATTCATTTTTTTTAGTTTCATACCTAAACTATTGAAAGTATAAGTTTCATACCTAAACTATCACTTTTTAGTTTGAGAAACACACCTCTCGCTTTTATACCACTCTCATCATGGTATGTGTAATACACTCTCTCTATTCTACAAAAAATAAAAAGGAGATAATTAAAGATTTATAATATACTTATGAAACAAGATATTATATTGCTTCATTTCTAATTTTTATGTAATGTTAATTATCTAAATTATTATTAAAATCTTATTTTAGTCAATTAAATCTTAGTTATGTGTCTCTAATCCAAGCAAAAAAAATTGGGGAAAATGGAGAGAAGAAAAATGGAAAGGAGCTAGATCCGTTAAACTCTATTATCTATTGTGGGTAGAATTGTCAAAATGGACTGACTCAACCCAACCCTAACGGGCTAGAGAGTTAAATGAGTTGGGACGGGCTCACCTTTTTAAATAAAGAGCCTATAAAATAGCAGTTCAACCCAGCCCTAAGCGGGCCACAGGTTGGAACGGATTGACCCTTCAACCAAAAAATAAACAATATTATTCTCTTCAAAAAAATATCTAAGAGTATCGAACATTGACGTCTATGAACACGACATCAATACATCCAAATTTTTATTTATGAATCACACACTTCGATGAATACTTACAAAAATACATTGATTAATCACACAATTTGGTGAATATTTACAAAATACATGATAATTAACGTAAGATTTAGCGAAAAATGTAAATCATTCCACCATTCCTTTTCAAAAAACTAGCTAATTTAAAAGACTTGATTTTTTATTTTTAAAAATATTTATTGATAGAAACTTTACAAATAAATCACTATTAAAAATATATAGCAAACAATATTTTTAAATAGTCATAGCCCACGGGCTAGCCTATGAGGCTTGCGGGTTAGTCTTACAAGGCTAGCGAGCCAAATGAAGTTGGACTAAAAATGCTCGTTCCTAAATGAGCTAAAAAAATTAGGCTCAATCACTTAATTCAAGGGTTGGATTGGATTAGCCTAACTGGTCAAACCCATTTTGACAGCTTAATTGTAACTTCAATTTGAAAATTATTGTTAATTCTTAAATCAATTCTTAATTTTCCATTTGGTTACATATTATGATTCTTAAATCAATTCTTAATTTTCCCATTTGGTTACATATTATGAAGTCAAAGTCAACCATGACAGATCCCTATGACATGGCTAATATTTTTAAAGTACAAGTAGGGAACATATCATTGTTGTTAAATGGGAAAAGATCATAAAGAAGTCAACACTAATTAATGAGATTTGGGTAATAGAGTTTTCTGAGCAATTTCTTTCAATTTAGAAATGGGCCAAAGTCATATGCGGCCATTTAAATTTGTCTCGATTATTCATTTAGACACCTGAACTAGGACTTATACCTATTGAACACCTAAATTATCAAGAAATGTGCCTATTAAAGACAAAACGCTGATGTAGCAAAGTAAGTGTATCTCACTGCTGCTGAGCGCGTGAATGCATTTTTTTATTTTTTTTAAAAATATTTATACCTACTTTGTTGTTGACACTTGGCATGCATTGACTAAATATATATAAAAAAAATTAATTTAATTAAGCATAAATCTTTTAAATCATAAAAAAAAAACAAAAAAAACCCACACTCATCTTCCTTCAACACACCATTTTAAAAACTTCAAATTTCTCTGCTTTTGTTATGATTTTTTTTTTCATTTTTTGTAAACAAAACGTCTGCTGCATTTTCAAGAAGAAGAAAAACTGAAACATTTGGAGTTAAAAATTGACCAATATCTGTACTTTTTTATTTTCAATCACTCCAATTGAGCAACTATCACCATTCATAAACTTATTATAAATGCTATAAAATATTTGATATAATTTTAATTTCTCTTTGTTGTCGATTTTAAAATAATTTATCAAGGTCGATTATATTTATAAAATCGAAATAGTCGTCAAAGGAATAACATATAATGAAGAAAATGAAAGAGAAAAAACATTTGGTGGATGAATTCGAAATGAGATGGGTTAGGCATTTTTTTTTGTTATGAAGAGGAATGGTGATTATGGAACAAGAGAGAAGAAGAAGAGAACAAGAAGAGAATAAGATGAAGAAAAAAGGGCAGTAAGTTAGATGGGATGGGATTAGGTGGGGGTGAGGGTGAGGGTGAGGAGGGGAAAGATTTTTTTTTAATTAATTTAATTTTTTATATATTATTAAAGGAAGGAAAATATTCTTTATTTTTTAAAATTAAATTAATGGGCCCATGTGCCACGTGTCGTAGTTCTATTCGTACTTTTTGTCAAGATAAAGAGTGTGCGTTGCACGCACAATATTTGTAAAGATAGTTGTAATTTTATGTTCAATAGATAAATATTTATTAATATTAAAGTGTCTAATAGGTAAGAGTATCAGTTGAGGTGTCTAAATGAATTATGCGGACAACTTTAAGGGGCTATCGATGACTTAGGCCTTAGAAATGTTGATTGAGCTGCTAGACTAATTTTATTAAGAAAATAGTATATACTATATAGTACAAAATCAAATCCAGCTCAATGATCTCTAAAACCAAAAAAAAAAAAATTTAGTAAAAATTAATTAACGATAATAATTTAATTATTATTAAATATATATTTTTAAAGGTAATTAACATTCTTTATAAATATTCGTAAAACTTATAACAATATTAAATTCAATAATAATTAATTAATACTGAAAAGACTTTAGTAATTTTTATTAAATACATATTTATAACCGCTTAAAACTATTTATCTTAGTAATTGCTGATATGATTTTCTATTTTTTAAGAAGGGTTTTGTTTACCAAGAGAGTTTTGATGATAATTGAACTAAAAGTAATGTATTATTAAAATAATGACAATAAATCAAACTTGTTAAAGAATATTATTAACTAATAAATTATGCCGCAGAGGTCCTAATAAAATTTAGTTAAGAATATCATTAAATTTTTAGATGAGATGGTCTCACACTTTAACATAATATCAGAACAGAGAGGTTTTAGGATTAAATTTCACCGTGCTACTCAAATCAAAAAAGAATTTCAACATGCTTGACCCTTGAAAAAGAATCAAACACGCACGTAGGCGTATCGAGTCTCACCGCCCAAATTTAAAAAAAAAATTCACATACTTAATCCATGAAAAATAATCAGATATGCAAGTGAAAGGGCCTATTAAAAATACAATTAACTCACAAAAGTCTTCTTAAAATTTTAGCACACTTCAACAAAACTAAAATATAAATATAAAGAACCGAATTACTATACATGAAAAAGACATAATAGTACAAGAGATCAAATTATAATTTTTTATACATCGATCGTACAACAATCATTTATAATATCATATATAAACAATTTTTTTCTTTTTGGTTTTTCCCACGCTCCTAGCTCCGACGTCTTGAATCTGAAACCTCTGAGTAAGGATGATTGACTACTTTACCATTTCATCATCCTTGTTAGTATAGATAAACATACTTTGGTGTGTATAACATGGCCAGCGTCCAATTGGAAAATTTACTAACCTCCACATCCACCACAACCACCACCACCACAACCACCACCGCCACAACAACACCCGTGATTCGTACTTGAATTTGTACCACCACCACCACCTCCTCCAACTACAACTCCACAACCACCACTAATATTACTATTACTACATTTATTATCACAATCACGTTTATCTTTACTAGTCATGACATCAGTAGCTATAGTCGTGCCAACTACCGCACCACCCGCTCCAGCCAAAACAACCATATTTCCATCTCGTGTGGCACGGCTACCGATGCTAGTAGTGATCTTTTTCCTACCTTTTTCAATATCAGGTGACTTCTTCAACCTACCTCCACCTCGACCGGCGCACAAGCAGCATAATAAATTACAACTTATGAAAAGCACAGAAGCCAACACAATGAACACAATACCAATTACATCCATTTTCTCCTTTGATTGAGTTGGAAGACAATAATTGCCTTTCTATTTGAAAAAAAACTTTTATAACACAAACGTTAAAGTCAACAACAATTGAGGTCTTTTTTATTTATTCCATTTCAATTAGCTTGTTTGATTTTGATTTTTATGGCCTTAAATTAAAAATATATAGAAATTAAAAAATACTATTTGACAATATAAAACATGTCAAATAAAAAGTCATAATAGA